GGAAGGATCGCCTGAGCCCAGCAGGTCGAGGCTGCGGTGGCCATGAGTGTGCCACTGCATTCCACCCTGGGCGACAGAGTGAGACTCCAACTCAAGAAAAGGAGAGAGGACCCCACCCCATCTCTGGGCACCGTTGTCCTCTCAAGGGAAGAGTGACCTGGCTGGCATCTTGCCTGGCCAGGGCCCCCTCCTGAGCTGCCCAGCTGGCCGCTCACTGAGCCTCCTCCACAGCCGGCCAACATCCTTCTGGACGAGCACGGCCATGTGCGGATCTCAGACCTGGGCTTGGCCTGTGACTTCTCCAAGAAGAAGCCCCACGCCAGCGTGTGAGTGCCCGCCACCCTCTCCCTTCCCCGACCCCCGCCACTCCCACTCATGACCTCCTTGCTCCCACAGGGGCACCCATGGGTACATGGCCCCTGAGGTCCTGCAGAAGGGTGTGGCCTACGACAGCAGTGCAGACTGGTTCTCCCTGGGCTGCATGCTCTTCAAGTTGCTGCGGGGGTGAGTGGCCTGTCCCAGCTAGGCGGCTGGGGGAGGGGAGCCCACAGCTGCCTGAGTGTTAGGGGCGGCAGCATCCCTGGCTTTGGCCAAGGCTCATGTACACTGCCAGACACAGTTTCCCTGATCCTGGGCTTTGACCTTGATCTCTGGCCTCTTTTACCCAGGCACAGCCCCTTCCGGCAGCATAAGACCAAAGACAAGCACGAGATCGACCGTATGACATTGACAATGGTGAGTGCAGGGTCTCAGCCTTCTGTGGGGTGCCAGGCTCATGGCTCATGGTTCTCACCGACCAGCAGAGATCTCGGGCCACTGGTCCCCTCTGTGGCCTCTGTGAGACAGGCCTCCTGCCCCGTAGCCTCTTGGCTTTCCTGTGTTGTCAGAGCACATGTCTGCTGGGCCTCACTGGGGGCCTGGACCCTTCCCTCCCTGCTGGGATGGGGCCAAGGGCTCTTCTCAGTCCTGGCCATGTCCCTTTCCTCTCTGAAGGCCGTGGAGCTGCCCGACTCTTTCTCCCCTGAACTTCGTTCCCTGTTGGAAGGCTTGCTGCAGAGGGATGTCAACCGGAGGCTAGGCTGCCTGGGCCGCGGGTGAGTACCCCAGCTACTCAGGCATGCTGCTGGGGCCGGGCCTCTGTGGGCTGCTGGCTGTGCTCCTCTGAGCTCAAGGGCTATGTCCCGTCACCTGGACTCCCCTTAGGGTCCCAACCTCCTTTGAGATGCTTGCAAGTGTGGGCACAGCTAGTCCTTTCCAATGCTCCCTGGCTGCCTAGAGGTGGAGTTGCTGGCAACTGGCTTCCAGAAGGGCCCTTGTAACAAAGATGATAGCAGCTTGTTACGTTTATCGAACAGTTACTAAGTGCTGGGTACAGCATTACAACCCAGTGTTGTCTCAGTGTTAAAACTCACAACAACCCCATGATGTCGGAACTACTTTTCTCCCATTTGCTAGATGAGGAAACAGGCTCAGGTTTAAGGAACTTGTCCAAGGTCACAGAGCCAGAAAGTAGCCCAGCCAGGAATTAACCTGAGCTGCCTGACCCCATGGCCCAGATTTAGCCCAGACTTGGGGTGGGGCCAAGCCCAGGTGACGGGCCTCTCCCCTCAGGGCTCAGGAGGTGAAGGAGAGCCCCTTCTTCCGCTCCCTGGACTGGCAGATGGTCTTCTTACAGAAGGTAATAAACTGCGATGGGGCCTCTTGGGGGTGCTCTGCAGCCCCAACCCCACGTTAACACCTGATGACCCCTGTTCTGCCGTAGTACCCTCCCCCGCTGATCCCCCCACGAGGGGAGGTGAACGCAGCTGACGCCTTCGACATTGGCTCCTTTGATGAGGAGGACACCAAAGGAATCAAGGTACTGGGCCTGGCCTGGCCTCCACCCTGAGCCCTGATCCTGACCCAGGTGGGACTCTTGTCCCTTCTTGCCCCTGTGACACCCCATCCTGGCCCTGCCAGCTTGTGGGCCTCAGCTTCTCGTCCCCGAAAGTCCCTGGGGGTGACAGTTGGACCAGACTGTCTTCTGCCCAGGGCCTGGGTCTGGGCTGGCCTGTGGCTGATGGATGTCCTGGCACCTCTGTCTCTCCATGTGTCCCTGCCCTGTCCACCTGGTGAAGTTATTGGACAGTGACCAGGAGCTCTACCGCAACTTCCCCCTCACCATCTCGGAACGGTGGCAGCAGGAAGTGGCAGAGACCGTCTTTGACACCATCAACGCTGAGACAGACCGGCTGGAGGCCCGCAAAAAAGCCAAGAACAAGCAGCTGGGCCACGAGGAAGGTGAGGGTCACCGGCTGCCACGGGTGCCTGGCCCCCTGCCCGCTTTAGAAGTCAGGAGCATGGCTTGGGTTTAAGCTGCTCGCCCAAGGTCACGGCCAGAAGCCAGAAAGTGTGGAACCGGGACTGAAACCCAGACCGGGCGGGACTGAGTCCCCTGTCTCGTCTCTCGCGGCAGACTACGCCCTGGGCAAGGACTGCATCATGCACGGCTACATGTCCAAGATGGGCAACCCCTTTCTGACCCAGTGGCAGCGGCGGTACTTCTACCTGTTCCCCAACCGGCTCGAGTGGCGGGGCGAGGGCGAGGCCCCGGTAAGGAGCG